CGTTGCATTGATTCATTCAAATAATTGTGGTCCTATGAATGTGAAAGAAAGACATGGAGCTTCTTATTTTATCACTTTCATTAATGATTTTACTCGTTTCAGTCATGTCTATATGATTTCAAATAAATATAAGGCAATGAATTGCTTTAAGAAGCATGTGAACATGGTTGAAGATCAATTAAGCGAATCAATAAAAGTATTGAGAGACCAATTGAGGCCATGAATACGCTTTGGCCCTATATATTAGACGAGCTTTTGTGATGAAAAAGGAATTGTTCATCAGTTGGACCATTCCTAATACTCCACAATAAAATGATATTGTAGAGAGAAAAAATAGAACACTCTGCGAAATAGTTATCGATGATGGACCACCAAAGGATGTGGTGCAGTGGATGGGACTGCTCCTCCCTTAACCAGAGGTCTCGAGTTCGAGCCCTGGGTATGGAAAAATCCTTGGTAGGGAGCGCTTCCCCCAGAAAGGAGCCCTACGCAGCGCGAATCCGGATATAGTCGACTCCAATGCGGGTACCGGAAACCGGGTGGGAAACCAAAAAAAATAAAAAAATCGATGATTGCTCAAGCAAAATTGCTAATTTCCTATTCTGGAGATGCATTATTCATTTACGACTATGTTTATTACCATGTACCAACATAATCAATTTTACGCCTACACCATATGAGTTATGAGCTTGTAGAAAATTCAACTTAAAGCATTTGAGACTTTGCGATGTGCGGCTTATGTGAGCATTCATTTCATGGCAAATTGGGCCAGAGAATAAGCAAAACTGTCTTAATGAGGTACTCTAACTACGAAAGATTCTGTCTCTTTTATTTATGTTTCTTATGGGATATCCATTATTAATTAGAAACTTTTTAAATGCGATTGAGAAGTTCTAAATGAGATTTTATTTGTGAACTTAATAACTTTTGGATAATGTCTGTAAATTGTGTTATGGACTAACTAACTATAATAATGATTTCCCACTTAGCAAGTTTTAAAAATTTCTCAAATTTGTTATGCGATTATAGAGTTAACACAATATTATTCGAAAATTAAGAGAAACATAATTATACCATTCCCTTTCAACAAGAAAAGAAAATTAATCATTCTATCAGTTGAGAGTTGAGACAACAATGGTACTAAAATTGGCCCATATTTTATCTTTTTATTTAGTTTGGCCCACTTTGTATATAACTTAAACTTTTTTAAGGAAAATTATCAGTTATGTCCGCCTATAAGTATGTTATCATAAAATTGGACAATTCATAAAATATTACAAATATCATCCAAATGCTATAATATTAGCCAATTAGCTATTTGTAACCAAAAAATGTCAAATTATTAATTTTTGAGTGGGTGTTGTTGGATAGAGCGGGTACATCTTACAAAGTTTGAATTTCACTTTTGGGAAGATTTGGTGGAGTTTTTTAGGTGGTTTGAATTGAAAATTCGAAGTATAAGATGAGTATGAAAAAAGATGATATGTGTATCACACTGTATATAATATGTATATTCATGTATACATGTGTGTGAGATACATGCGTGATACATGTTTGATACATGTGTCACAAAAGAATTTTTTAAGCTCGATTTTAATTATGAATTTGATACCAAACCAATCCAATCACCTCCATCCTTGCTTAAATCTTGCATATCGCCTCATGTATATGTTTTCAATGAATTTCAGTCATACCCATTGAAACAAATCCTTTTTTGCCTAATTTTTTTTAAATATTGTATATCATTGATAATGAATTATGACTTCAAACTAGTCTACTTCATCTTCAAACTTTCTCAAATTTTGTATATTGTCATATCTATGTGTTTTCAACGAACGGTGATAATATTTATTAAAAAAGTCCTTTTTTTCCTGTGTCTTTTGAACGTTGTATATCATTGGTACTTCTTTTTGGCTATTTATGGTAGCATGATTAAAATGAATATTTATTGGTAAATAGTATTTTTTGGTATATTTATGTAAGATTTCTTTTTTTATTCCTTAGCCCAATATTAAAGATCTACTTCTAATACTTTTATTTTTATTTTTTCTTCTTTCTTTTTCTCCTTCATTGTGGATAGGGGTGTTCACGGTTCGGTTTGGTCGGTTTTTGATTAAAACCAAAACCAAACCAATTTAATCGGTTTTTAAAATTTTAAAACCAAAACCAAACCAAATTAAATACAAACCATCGGTTTGATTGTTGTTGGTTTGGTTTGGTTTTTCGGTTCTTAGTAAGCTAATGATAAGTCGATAATATTAAAACAACGCTAGACAACAATCTGAAAATAATTGGCCAAATTTATGCTTTTTATATATTTCTTTGAGAACTGAAAGTTTATTTACATGTTTATATGAAAAGAATGAACAAAAAACAAACTAAAAGTTTGCTTTCTCAAGCTTTAGCCATTGTTGTCTCGCAATTTGAATGTGCTTTCTTTACTCTTGTGATGATTTTTTTTTAACTCTTCTTTTAGGCAAAAGTATGTGAGGAGGGTTAGAGAATTAGAGTCTATTAATGAAAAGAAAATTGGTCGAATCCTATTGTTTTGGGCTTAGAAAATATTTTAAGATATAACAGGATAAACCAAAATTCAAAATAACAATTAAAATTATTAACAAAAAGATATTATATTGTATATAAATAATTATTAAATTTTGTATATAATTAATCAGTTTGGTTCGGTTTATTTTTTGGTTTTTTAAATAGAACCAAAACCAAACCAAATATTATCGGTTTTTAAAATTTAAAACCAAAACCAATCCAAATCAAAAAAAAATATCGGTTTACTTAATCGGTTTGGTTCGGTTTTCGGTTTGGATCGATTTTCCGTCAAACCGTGAACACCCCTAATTGTGGATGGCTTTTCTTTTCCTGCTTCTTTCTTTTCTTTTCAGATTCGAATACTCTTTAACAAGAAAAGTTACTGAAGAATCCTATCAGAAAAGGAAGTAAAAATTGGAGAAACTAAAAAAGTTGTTCAGTCACAAAGCAAGCATCTGCTTGGATGTATATTTTTAGCATTGAAGATGAACTTAGCAAAAAATATTCTACCCAATTCCTCGGTAAAAATAAGTGTATGGAAACCAAAACAAAAAATGAAAAATAAAGTAACGAAATCAATCAAAAATAAAAAGAAAGAAATTAATTGAAGGTGCCTTAAAAGGGTAATTTTGTTAGTTGTTTGAATTGAATACGTTCCAATTGACTGAAAATGTCAAGAGTTGGGGTGTTCATAAAAATCCGAAAAATCGAACCAAACCGAAACTTTTTGGTTTGGTTTGGTTTTGGTTTTGAGTTTTAAAAACCGATCAAATTTGGTTTGGTTTTGGTTTTAATAAAAAAATAACCGAAAAAAACCGAACCAAACCGACTATAGGAGTAGCTATTTCAAATTTATTATTACACCTATATATATGTATATTTTTATACAAAGTTTCAAAAATTTTATGGTGAATGTTAATCATTTGCACTTTTAGTACAGTTTTTTACCTTTATATTATAGTTTGATTGGTAGTTTCTTTTGTTAAGTGTAAGAATCCATTTCATGTTAAAAAAAATATTTTTAATTAAGTCCTTAAATTATTCATCACTATTTGATTCAATTATCATCAATATATTTTAGTAAATAATAGATTTCTCAAAGGGCAATTGATTTGATAGTGTTACGTTGAAAATGTGGTCGCCGAAATATGTGTTTGGTAGTGTATGTCTTATATTTAAGAAAAAACCGACAAAAAACCGAAAAAACCGAAAAACCGACAAAACCCGACATAAACCGAATCGAGAAAAAATTGACTTAATTGGTTTGGTTTGGTTCTAATATTTTGAAAAACCGACTTACTTGGTTTGATTTTTTTTTAGGGAAAAACCGATCCAAACAGAACCATGAACACTTCGAGCAGTTTAAAAACTTAAATTTGAATTGATTTGAGTAAAGTTTCAGATCTGAGTTAAATTTCAGATCTAATTTTTTTGAGTTTATTAGTTGTTTGGGTTGAGTGTTGTTTTAATCAATTGAAAATATCAAGAGGAGTTCAAAACTTAAATATGAAGTGATTCGGAGTAGATTCGAACTAGATTTGAGTTAAATTACAGAGAGGCTCGAGGAAGAAAACGAAGTCAGTTTTTGTATAGTAGTGTATAAAAATATATGCTTGTGTATATGAGTGTCTAAACACATATTATATACTTATATACATAATGTACCCGCCTTGTATAAAAGTATATAACATTGTATAAAAGTGTATAAGCGTATGTAGACAAACTTCTTACATGATTTTTACTTGCAATTCTTGTTCAAAACCAATCCAAATTCTAGCAAATAAATTCGAATTTAATATACTACCTCCTTAGACTATTTCTAACAAATCTAAATAACACACTCTCCAAATTTCTCTCAAAATCAGATTCGAATTTTAAGACTACTTATTTTGCTCAACAATGTAGATACCTTAAAAATCTACAATTTTTACCAACCAAGTAGATTTGATTTATTGAACTACAGTAATATTTGAAACACAGTTATCGATTTAGAGATTGGATTAGAAGCTTAAAGAATGGTGATTTCGAAAATCTATTGGAGTTGAATATGAATCTTGCCCTAGTATTAACTTTGCAAAGTAGTATATAGGCGACCTAATTGCAATGTATATGTGTGAGTTATACTTATGTGCAATTCCCTCTTTCAAAAATGCTTTTATGAAAACAAGTGAACAACATTTTAGCTTATAGTAATGGTTTAAGTTTTAGTACTAACGGTACAAAAATTATTTATATTATTAGAATATTTATAGATAATTATAGATAAAGCTCTTGATAAATATTATAATTAAAATAGAACAATATAGTAATTTGTTTTCAACAATCTTATCGCATATATAACTTAATAAATCTTTGTAATAATAGCCTCACGGCAAAAGGAAAAAACGTAAAAATTGAGCCTTCTAGATCCTTCTGAAATATGGAGTATATACCAAAAATGTTGGGCCTTAAAAGTCCAACTTCTAGATCCATCCTTTTTCAGAACCCTCTAGACCGTTGCTACTAGTATTTCTCTCTATTGCACTTCGTCACGTACACATTCTCATCTCAGATCCACTTCTTACAGTCGCCGCCGTCCACTTCTTACAGTCGCCGCCGTCTTCAACTGCTTTCCGCCGCCACTTAATAAACGTAGAATGGCTCGAATGGGAGAAGGAGACAAAAGATGGATCGTGGAGGACCGTCCAGACGGCACAAACGTCCACAACTGGCACTGGTCCGAAACCGATTGTCTCGAATGGTCTCGCAGTTTCTTCAACAAGCTACTCTCAAACCAAACACTCCTCAACGGCGAAGGCAATCTCCATATCCGAACGAAAAAGCTCGAAAAACTCGAAGGAGAAGCGTACGTTAATATTCGAAAGGGAAAGATAATTCCAGGTTATGAATTAAGTCTAGTACTTTCATGGGAAGGTGAAGCGAAAGACACTGACGGCACAAGTTTGTTGAAAACTGAAGGGACTGTCGAAATCCCTTATATATCCGACGAGAATGCTGGTGAAAACCCTGAGGCTCGGGTTACAATTAGGGATGAGGGTCCCATTGGGAAAAGATTAAAAGATGCTTTTATTGCAAAAGGGAAGCCTTTTGTTTTCGAGCAAGTTCAGGTTTATGTTAATGCTATGGCGAAAGGTGGTCCTGCTAAGGACGACCTCGAATCGAAGAAAGTTGTAAGCAAAACCGCAGGTTCTGCCAAGGGGGCAGGTGCAGTTGATAAGGAGAAAGTTGCAGTGAAAGAGGTTGTGAAGAAGGAGGAGAAGAAGAAGGAAGGGTTTAAGACGATTGCAATGACGGAGAAGTTCAATTGCAGAGCGAAGGATTTGTTTGAGATTTTGATGGATGAGAGGAGATGGAAGGGCTTTTCACGGAGCGATGCGAGGATTAGTAAAGAGGTAGGGGGTGAATTTAGTATATTTAATGGGTCAGTGACTGGGAAAAATGTGGAATTGCAGGAAGGGAAATTGATTGTGCAGAATTGGCGGTTTGGTAGCTGGCCTGATGGGATTCAGTCCACGGTATGATATTCTGACCCTTGCTCTTCTGTAGTATCTTTAAGCACTCATATCAAATGGTTTACACCATTAGTTAGTGTAATTTAACTTAAGCTGTTATAGCACATTACTTGCCAATTTATGGTAGGTTATCAATGAATGCTTATATATTAAATAGATTAATCACAATTACCTTTTAACATGATTGTGTGAATATCTTTTATACCATCAATACATAGAACCTAAGCTCCATCAAATATTGTTCTGATGTATACTCGACTCAGTGAATGTCATATGTTTGTGAGAGGTGAGCACATTGTATGGTCAAATGATCACCGATTTAGTTTGTAAACATTGTCAGGTAGAAATTTTTTTGTTAGTTTACTTCTGTTTTGAAGAGAAGCATGGACAAAAGGCTTTTTTCTGGGAACATGACAAAATGTTTTCTAGATATATGTGTTGAATATATGATAAGCAGAACAGCATTTCTGGCGAAGTTGGCTTTGATGGCCTATGGAGAATAGGGATCATGTCAACTGCACTCTCATTGTTTGCTGCATTTCTCTGCTATATTAGGTTATTACTTTTAACACTCCAATTTGAAAGGAAGCACCCGCCATGAACTTTGAAGTATTCATCCAGTCTAATACCTACATCCATTCTATGAATCATGCTTTTGTTCACAGTTTACGGGGGGGGGGGGGGGGGGGGG